AACAGACTTATACCAATGAATTGGGGAGGGGCAGTAAGTTGCAGGTGTTGTTTATAATCTATTGATTTCTAGATATTTCTGAATTTTTAACTAAAGATTTATGTATACATACATATAGTGAGAATTTTTTTTAAGAAAAATGAAGCTAAGAAATAATGTAAATTTCCATAATGGATATCAAGTAAGATAACACCCAAAGTAATTCCCAATGGTTTTGGCAAGAGGTAAGCAAACAGTTACCAAAAAAAGGACATTTCTAGTCAGGTGATAAAAGCAGGAGCTGGAGTTACACAGTTGGAGAGCAAATGCAGAATTTGGAAATGGGGACAGTGGGTGAGTGTGGCCCTTTTATAAAACTTGGTCATGAAGAGCAAAACAGATACAGGTAGAAATGTCACACCTGTGGTCTAATTACACAGGACATTCGATCAAGTATGGGATCTGTCCTCAAGAAACATAACATTTTACAGGGTTTTCCTCTCATATTTATATCTTCTACCAAAGAGACTGGGGAGTGTGACCCAGCAGTTACCTTTCAATTCCATACTTTCTGCCTAATTTGTTGAGGCTTCATATAAACAACCTTGCCTTAAGAGTTTCTCTAAGTATTCCCCCATCACTAAACCTCTCCCCAATTTTGACTCTAAATTATACTATATACATGTATCTTGAGTGCTTCTAAAACATATTCCTTTTCTTATTAAGGCAGTAACTGCTGTGCATACATTTAAAAAATAAACTTTTTCTCCAAATTTGTTACATTAGTTTAAAGGAAAAATAAGGAAAATTTAATATGAAAAAATACCAAAAAGAAGAAAGTAGTTACCTAGAAAACAAAAGCAGTAAGCTTCATGATGATGATAATTTGGATCTGACACAAAAGCAAAGACAACAAAAGCAAAAAATAAATAAATAGGACAACATCAAAGTAAAAAGCTTCTCAACAGCAAAGGATATCATTAACACAATGAAAAGGCAACCTCCTGACTGGGAGAAAAATATTTGCAAATCAGACATCTGATAAGGAGTTAATATCCAAAATACATAAAAACTCATAGACCTCAATATAAAAAAAAAATGATTCTATTATAACATGGGCAGAGGAGCTGAATAGGCATTTTTCCAAAGAAGACACACGGATGGCCAATAGGTACATGGAAAGGTGTTCAACATCAATAATCATCAGGGAAATGCAAATCAAAACCACAGTAAGATATCACCTCACACCTATTGGAATAGCTGTTATCAAACGCCCAGCTATAAAATAATAGGTTAGGTAACATATAGAATGGTGACCAGTGTTAAAAATACTGTACTATATATTTGAGAGCTGCTAAGAGAGTACATCTTAAAAGTTCTCAACACACACACAAAAAATTGTAACTGTGTTTGGTGATGAATGTTAACTAGACTTATTCTGGTGATTGTTTCACAATATATATAAATTTCAAAGCACGTTTTATACCTGAAACTAATATAATGCTGTATGTCATCTAAATAACAAAGCAAAACAAAACAAACCAAAAAACACAAGATATATTACCACACAGTTGTTTGGGTTGATCATTCTCAAAATTTACTCAACAGAAATCTATTATTGAAGAACTATAGAAAATCTATATTGAAGAACTTCATTACATCCCCTAAGACCCTTGACTTTAAATTGTCTTTGTTGACAATTCAGGATATTGTATAATCAATTCTAGCTACAAAGAACTTACAAATAAATGGCATTATTTAGTTTTTCTGACCTAAAATATACTAGCTTTTGCTATTAATTTAAAAACTAAGTAACCCAAATATGTGTATGCTTATATTCATGTCATTTTTAGTACAAGAAATGGACATTTATCTCATTTGCTTCCAATAAGTGGGTTAGGGTTGAGGATGATGGGGAGCAGAAGACATTGCAAGAGAAGTTCTCATGGATGAACAGATAAAATGATTTGAAATTATAAGACAAAATATTACCTTTTTGGTATAGAATAGAGTGGTCAGTCTGTGAATCTTTGGATAAACTGTAAATATCAGCTCATCAAATATGATTTATAAATTCTTCTCACACTCAATACTCTGTAGATTTCACAATTTATGTATTATATTCTTTATAAAATAAGGAAAGTGGTTTACTTAGAATCTATGAGCACATGTCTATGCCTTGAATTTAAAGATAATGCAAAACTAATATTTAGGTAATCAATTACCAACCAGACTCTCTCATTTTGTGCATTTATATAGATAGGGCATGTACACAACATCCCAAATATGTAAAGTTCATGTTAAATTTAAAATGATTCTCTGGAAATATGCCTATTTAAAACAGATGTGAATCAAATTGGCTATCATTACATTTGCCAGAAAGTTATAGTAGGAGCAGAGGGGAAAGTAAATTATCTCAATTTTGTATTAAACTAAATACCACAATTGAAGGAGTGGGGTGGAGTGGTGGGGGAAAAAAAGCTAATTAAGGAAAAGAATGAGGTACGACTGGGTGGCTTAGTTGGTTAAGTGTCTGACTTTGGCTCAGGTCATGGTCTCACAGTTTGTGAGTTTGAGCCTTGTGTTGGGCTCCATGCTGACAGCTCAGAGCCTGGATCCTGCTTCAGATTCTGTGTCTCTCTCACTCCTCATTCTCTGCCCCTGCCCCACTCACACTCAGTCTCTGTCTCTCTCAAAAATAAGTAAACATTAAAATATATATATATTTGAAAAAAAAAGGAAAAGAATGGCAAAAATGAGGTATCTCTTAACAAGAAGATCCTCCAGTGAAACTTCCAGGATCACGATCTGGCCAAAGAAGCAAGCAGAGGAGGGTTTATCATAAAGACAAATAAGGCATAAGCTTCAGGGCCCCTCATTTGCACATGTCCCTTTTGAGGCTCTAAACCTAATTTAACATCATAATTTTATATTCTTAATGACGAAACCTCCATCTCCATATTTTTACAGACTTCAAGTCTCTTATAACCTAGATATCACCCTGGAAGCAAATGAGAGAAAGAGCTGCCATATCTGTATTTAAGTTTAATTTGCCATTGAGTTTGGGTAGAATGCAGATTATGTGATGGCTTTCACCTGTTCAAGATATGAATTTCCATTTCTTTTTTTTTAACTTCTTTTTTTAACGTTTATTTATTTTTGAGAGACAGAGCATGAGCGGAGGAGGGGCAGAGAGAGAGGGAGACACAGAGTCCGAAACAGGCTCCACACTCTGAGAGGCAGCACAGAGCCCGATGTGGGGCTCGAACCCACAAACCACAAGATCATGACCTGAACCAAAGTCAGACGGCCAACGGATTCAGCTACCCAGGCGCCCTGAATTAACATTTCTTAAATAAACTCAGCAAATATTTTATTTGTATCAAAGAACAGACTGGAAAACATAACCAGGTATTTTAAAGTTTTAATACAGTTGAAGCTGGCTGCTCAGCCAGTAAAGTATTCCCAGGATTGTGCTCTCAAATGGAAAATTCTGAGAGTATGGTTAAAAAGAAAATGTTTAGGGACATTTGGGGTAGCTCAGTCAGTTAAGCAACCGACTCCTGGTTTTGGCTAAGGTCATGATCTCATGGCTTCCTGGGGTCAAGGCCCGTGTGGGGTTCTGCACTGGCAGGGCAGAGCCTGGTTGGGATTCTTTCTCCCTTTCTCTGCCCTTCCCCCACCAGTGTTGTCTGTCTTTTAAAAAAAAGAAAAAAGGTTTAACTCAAAATTGAGTTGACTCAATGGATGAGTGAAAACAATACAAAGAAGGTGAGTTATCTTTTAATGTCTAAGAAGATTTCTCCCTGAAATATTGGAGATTTCATTTAACTTTTTTTCTTAAAATAATATGTATACTCTCTTAATAAAGGTTTTTTTTTTCATCTTTTTTGAATAGTCAATTTCATTACCAGTGTTTGGTATTGAAAGTCATTCTCAAATGGAATTACTTGGGAAGAATTGTGAGGTTACACTGCCTAGCAAGAATTACCACTATATTTTGTTGTCTATTTGGATTACAGACGCAAGGTTCTATAGATGTAATTTTCAGGACAGAACACTTACATTCTTCAGCATACTACTTTAACTCAACAATCACTATATGCAAGGCACTGGTTTAAGACTTAGAGAAAGATACAAAGATAAATTAAGACATGTTCTTTGCCTTAGTGTCAATCATACAGATTATTCAATATCAGTAATTGATTCTTTAGTGCAACAGATTCCTTGAACAAAGATAACCGTTTTGCATTTTGCATGTGATAGGGAAACATTTTATCAGAAAAACAAATAATAATTATGAATCTGTTAACCACACATCTTGCTGTCACATTCTGTTTCCTCCAGGAATGTATAACCTGAGGCATATGACAAGGACTCCTAGACAACAGTATCATAGAATACATTATACTATTTTCAATATTTCCTCACAAACTATAAACTAAAACCCATTTCCTTTAGTTTAGCATTTAAAAACCCTTTACATTCTCACCTCAACTTTCTTCGAAAACCTCCACTTTGTCTCTATATAACTCTGGCTAGGAACTCCCTCTTCTGAACAACTCTGTGTCTTGGCAAGTTTGTCCCATTTATTCTGTTTTTCTAAGTATCCAAACACTATTTACTTAAAAAAAAAAAAAGAAAAAAAAAGAAAAAAACTAAGTTCAGAACTACAGTCTCCACAAAGCTTCTCTTGATGACTATAGCCCATGATACACTTTTTCACTGTTTCTTTTTGTGGGTTTTTTTAGCAGATAATTTAGAACAGAAAGAGAAAGAACTATTACATCTCTGAATTTTTTTGATGCTGAAACTTGATTTTCTTCTTTTGTTTTTAACTGTGATAAAACACATATGACATAAAATGTACTATCTTAACCATTTTTAAGCATAGAGATCAGAAGTGTTAAGTACATTCACACTGTTGTACAGCCAATCTCCAGAATGCTTTTTATTTTACACAATTGAAGCTCCCTACCGATTAAATGACAATCCCCATTCTTCCCTACCCTCAGCCCCTGGCAGCAACCCATGGTACCTTCTGTCTGTATGGATTTGCTACTCTAAGCATATCATATAGGGGGATGACATGGTATTTGTGTTTTGTGATTGGCTTATTTCACTTAGCACAATGTCCTCAAGATTCATCCATGTTGTAGCACAGGTCAGAATTCTCTTCCTTTCTAAGGCTGAATAATATTTCCATGTACGTATATACTACATTTGCTTATTCACTGGTCAAGGGACACTTATGTTGCTGTGACCTTTTCTCTATAGTGAGCAATGCTGCTATGTGAAATTTACTCTTTCAAGATCTAAAACCTAGTGTAGTAAGCAAAAATCTTAGATGGCCCCAAGATTCCCACCCCCTTGTGTATATGCCCTGCATAATCCTCCCTCCTTGAGTATAAAGGACTTTAATATGATGAGATATCACTCCATGCTTATGTTACTTTATATGAAGGAATGGATTCTGAAGATGTAAGTAAAGGCCTTATCAATTGACTTTGACTTAATCAAAATGGAGATTGAACTGGGTAAGCTCACCCTAATTAAATGAGTCCTTAAAAGAGGATAGAATTAAAGCCAGAGAGAGATTTCATCCTTTTCTTAAAGAAGCAAATGATCATGTTGTGAATCTGTTATGGAGCTTTGTGACAAGAATCTAAAGGTGGACCCTTAAGGTTTGAGAGTTCTCAGCCAATAACATGCAAGAGAATGAAGACTTCAGCTCTACAACAACAAGGCATGGAATTCTGCCAACAACCAATGACTTGGAAGAGAACCCAGAGCCTGATATGAGAGTGCAATCCAGGCAGACACCTTGAGGTCTTTAGCAGAAGACTGAGCTAACCTGTACCCAGATTCATGACCAAACAGAAACTGTAAGATAATAAATTTGTTTTAAGTTGTAGTAATTGGTTATGTAGCAATAAAAATAAAGAAATCTAGTTTTGGATTTGGGGTAGAAGTCTTTCTTCATTTCCATTATTTCTTAAACACAGACTACAAACCATAATTATGGCATCTCTGTTAAATTAATGTCACCTTTGGGAACATCAAATATACAATGTATGACATATTTAAGGGATAGTAATGTTTGTTCAACTTTTTGCTGACATAAAGATAATTGAATTTATACAGAGGTACTTCTGATTGTTTTTCAGATCTATTTTTTACAGTTTTGTTTCCCCTATTATTTTTTGTTATTATTGCTATTTGTATGCAAGTCTGATACTGGTACCCAACTGTATATTTGTGTATCCTAGTATGTTTTGAATTGGGAAAGTAGAGAATCATGCTTACTTGTATTGTCTCTATATAGTTAGAACAGTGATATTTTAGATTTTTTTTTCTGTGTATCTCTCAGTATTTGAAGTTATCAGAACAATAGAGATGTGAGTTTAAAGGAGGAGAGAATATTATAAGAATATCAATTGACTGTTGATTTTTACCTTATTTTGAAAAGTTCTCTTCACTGAAAGCTCTCACCAGGCAAAATTGCTTTATAGGAAGTGATGTCTTTGTCTCAAATGGTTTTTGCCCCTCAGGTGACTCTAGTGAGTCAGAGAAACCTGTGTGGGCTTCAGACAGAATTATTGCACCTCACTTCACAAATCAGAACTATGGGATACGTTATCTACTACTTTCTAAGTCTACACTCCACATATAATTTACTGACCCATTAATAAAGCGTATGCGTTTTGATTTTTTTTCCAGTAGTGGCAATTGAGTTAAAAGTTTGAGAAAACTTACAGATAAGAACAGTGAGAAATACAATACCAGAAGGCAGTAGGGGAGAAACATAAACCAGAGTCACTTTTTCAAGAAAAACAGGAGGAATTCTGATAACACATTCCTGCAAATATCAAGTTTCAAGTATTTAAATCTTTAAAATGTATTTTTCATGTTTTTACTCTGTTTTCCCCTAACCCCTCCTTTTTGTAGTGTGTGCTCTAATGTACTTTCTGAGCCAGGGCAGGTACCATTACCTGAATAACTTTGTGACTAAGTCAAGTTCTTAGGTCTGAAAACTTCCAAGCATAAAATCTAGATTTAGGGTATTTAAAGAGATTTTTGTATATATACCCACTTTCTAAATGCATACATCTTAATGCACATCTCTAATATAATCACTTTATTACTTTAAATTTCTTTGTAAGAAAATTTACTTTCTCCTCATGTTTGCAGACACGCCAGGTGATAAAAGGATGGAATGCTTTAACACTCCTCCCCACTTGCCATAGTCCTCCTGATTTGATTCTGGTTTTGCTCCTTTGGACTTAAATGATCTTTCTGGTACAGTACTGGGTAGAATAGCATTTGAAAAATAAAACAAAGGTAGAATGTTTAAAATGGTCTTGACGAATCTCTAAATTCTATACCTGGAACTAATATTATACTGTATATTAACTATCTGGAATTTAAACAAAAACTTAGAAAAATAAACAAATAAAATGACATTAATGCTCTTCTGTTGAAATTACTTCTAGAGTAAATAATTAAGTGGGAACTAATCTCACCAAATTTCACTGTAAAATTAAGTATTACTCTCTTAGTTATCTGAGATAGTATGGAAAATAAATGGACTGCAATTGGGATGAGGGTGATTTCTCATTCACTTTTGGCTCTTTTTTTAAATTTCCTTTTGCTCTGATAACTAAGAACCTTGTAGTTGTTTTCTGTTTTTTTAAATATTAGATCCTTAAATAAAGCAGGCAAAAATAATCCACTACTACCACTCCCAAGCCACCTCCAAATAATGGGAATTTCTGGCTTGTTTGCAACAGAAAGGTACATCTGCAAGCTTCTGTAACAGACAACCAGGAAATGTAAAGGAACAGCAGCCTTTCTGTACAAACCAATATTGTAACTGGAATAGCAATCCGTCTTCCAGGGAACAAAGGCACTGCCACAAGGAGTCCAAGTGTTTGCTCTTTGCCAACATTCCCCCAAATCTACAGACATTTTTAGAAAGAATGCCTACACCTCCTATTCAGAAAGTAAAAAGGAGATCGGCTAAGCTTTGAAAGGTAATATTTGGGTTGTGTCAGAGCCTAGCATTCTATTTCTTTGTTCTGCTTCTGAATTCACATTGACATACAAATCATTTCATTTCTTTAAGTATTTTAAGGTAATTTCTTTGAATTACTCTATAAGTAATTTATTTAGGTGCTCTAGGTATTAAACATGAAAAATAACTTTAGATGTAAGGATTAAAAGTGAGGCATGAGGACAAATTGTTATCAACCGAGTTTTCTTTAAATAGAGCGAATCACATAGTATTCACAAAAGCTTTTATTTTTTTAAGGCTCCTACATATATATTTAAAGAATATTTTCAACAATTTTCATAGTGTACTTAAAACTGAGGTTACTTTCATCTTTTGCATGATATAATTTCTTATAGCAGCTCAAGTGATAAAGCTTCTGAATTCCTCTATTGAAAACAAAAATACCCTCTTACAGTAATCATGGAAGCATGAGGATTAGTATGTAACACTCAAACTAAAGAAAATTTAAAAACAAAGCAACCACATCTTAAACTATAATATGATCACCTTCCTTTTACTTCTTCCTTATTCCTTCTCTATGATCTTCTATTTCTCTTACTCGCTATTTCCTATTTATTTGCAAGGTGAAGTTTTATATTAATCTAAATTTTAAGACTTTTTCAAAAAAATGTTTAATGTTTATTTATTTTTGAGAGAAAGAGACAGAGATAGAGCATGAGCGGGGGAGGGGCAGAGAGAGGAGACACAGAATCCAAAGCAGGCTCCAGGCTCCAGGGCTGTCAGCACAGAGCTGGACCCGGGCGGGGGCGTGAACTCATGAACCACGAGACCATGACCTGAGACAAAGTTGGACACTTAATCAACTGAGCCACCCAGGTGCCCCCTAAATTTTAAGACATCTTAAATACTATTACCCATTGTGGTTATTATAATCATAATATCCTTATTGTTATATATATTTAACCATTTCTAAAATACCATGATGTTTGAGTACTACAAAACAACACATAACTACAATATATGAATTTGGGCCAGAGTCAGACCGAGGGTCACATTCTAACCTTAGCACTTGCAAAATTTGTGGCTTCAGTTTTCTTACATATACAATAGGGATAATACCTAACAGGATTGTAGTGAATGTTTAAATGTTTCCTCCAACTTAGCTTTTCTAAAACTGTACATATCATTTCCCTTTCCAAACTTGTACCTCCCCCAAAATGCCTATTTTTAGTAAGGGGCAAAAACATTACATTTTCAAAGAAGATTAAATTATGGCCGGGGCGCCTGAGTGGCTCAGTCGGTTGGGTGTCTGACTTTGGTTCAGGTCTGATCTCACCGTTTTTGAGTTCGAGCCCCACATTGGGCACTGCGCTGACAGCTCAGAGCCTGGAGCCTGCTTCAGATTCTGTGTCTGCCTCTCTCTCTGACCCTCCCCCCTGCTCACACTCCGTCTCTCTCTCTCAAAAATAAATAAACATTAAAAAATTTAAAAAAAAGACTAAATTATGATCAATTCCCACTGGCCCAATTTAAACATCCAGACACCAGGTCTGATAATGTTCATTCTGATAATATCTCAAAAGATACTCTTCCCCACTCCCACTGAGGCCTCCCCAGTCCAGGCCAGGAATTTCACACAAACTGCTCTTTACCCTCTTAACTGGTCTTGCTGCCTCTCACTTTGCTCCTCACATATCCATTCTCCAGTCTGAAGCTATAGTAATTAAAAAACAAAAACAAAAACAAACACAAAAAACTATGTGTCATGTCACTTCCCAGCTTATAAACCTTCAGAGACTTCCCTTTGCTCTTGGGATGAAAACAAGCTCCTTAAAAGGCTCATTGGGCACCCTATGACTGTCCCTGCTTCCTCCTCCTCTCACCTCTTGCATTCTTTGTCTCATAGTTAATTCCCTTACTCCTCAAGTTATAGCTCAGGTCTATTCTTTGCCTGGAAGACTCACTTCTCTTCCTGGCTAAATCGTACTCATGTTCAGGTTGCAAGTATCACTTACTCAACAGGCGTTTTACAATACCAAGTGTAGCCTAAAATTAACATTGCATTCTGAATGAAGAGTCCTCAAATTACAATTAAAAACTCACTTTCCCCCGATAGAGTATAGAGGTGGACAGGAGGGAAGCTGGGAGAAAATAGGCCGGGGCGGAAGAAAATGGGAATTTTGAGACATGATGTCTATAGAGCAAGCCATACAGTAACCTCCCTCTCCTTCTTTCACATCAAGTAAGGTAGGTTTACACTGTGCTGTGGCAAAGAGTTTATTATATGATCCATGTAACTGGATGGAAGAGAAAAAGATAGTATAACCCCCATGCAAGCAATTAATAGGGTAGGAACAGGATAACTGCTTTTGTGGTGGGAATACTCTGCCTCCTTTGATCTGTGTCTGAAAAAAGTATCTAAGAATTACTATTTTTTTCATTCAAAAATACTTATTTTTTAAACCTCTTATTTTGGGATAATTTAGATTCACATCCAGTTATAAGAAAACAGGAATCTTTATTACAGCATAAGGGACAATGAGAAATTGCATATTTTTAAGGGATACAAACTTGATGATTTAATATACATATGCATTGTAAAATAATCACTAAATCAAGCTAATATATACATCATCATAGTTACTGTGTGTGTGTGTGTGTGTGTGTGTGTGTGTGTTTGTATGTGTGTGGTGAGAACACAGGCATAGTCTTTCAGCAAATTTTAAGTATACAGTGTAGTACTTCAGTACCTTAACTACAATTAAGTTGTACATCAGATCTCTTGTATGTTACATCTTTTGTTAGATAAATACAACATATTCACCTTGCATAACTAAAACTTGCACTCCATGACCAACAACTCCTCATTCCCCCCTCCTTCTATCTCCTGGCAACCACCGTTGCTTTCTGGTTCTATGGTAACATTTTCCCTGGGTCAGATATGGGCCATACAGGATAGAAAGAAGAGGTCCAGAGCCATTTCAAGTCCTGTTTCAGAGGAAAACTTGGGAGGGAGAAGGATTCTCATGCAGGAGACTGGATGGAGTGAGTCATCATCAAAACAGGTTGGAAGGACTAAATAACCCAAGGACTGAGAAGAGCATCAAGCAAGTTTCCATTGGAAAGGAATCTAGTGATATGAATATTGAAGAATTCAGGATAGAGGGCTTCTGCTGGCAAGCCTCAGGCTATCCCCAAAGAAGAAACTTAAGAGCTTCCACTTTTCCTTCTTCCATCTCAAATGGCAGTTCTAGAGGGGCTAAAGCTGTAGCAAGCAAGGTGTTGAGGCAGAGCTCCTAAGAAAAAGAGCTCTTGTACTCCCTTTCTAGATGACAGTGGGATGGCAATGGTGTCCTTAGCTGGCAGAGGGAGGGGCGAATTTTACCTCTGAATGAAGATTAAAGTATTAATGAGTATCTTGGAATAGATGCTATCAATTGAGATAGTCACTTAATGGTGACTGTGGAATTGCATATCTCAGAGTAAGCAGAAAAGTCCTGGTTACCCTGCCCAAGTCCCACCCAGGGCCAGTAGACAATGCTACCAAATAAATGTTAAACAGACAAAGAGAAACAACACATGTGTTTTCTTTAGGCCATCTTTTGTGCTTTTTAGCATTCTTTATACTTCAATAACCATTTTAATATCCATCACACCATCCCTAAAATTAGTCATTGTAGAGACAATTTTGTGAGGAGTGGGGGTTGATATGGGTGGAAACCATGAGGTGGACCTACGAAATGGTCCCTGAATACCACATTAGATTGTTTCCTTTATACAGTTAAAAAGAATCCCATCTGCCAAAAATACGTATACATACTTTGTTTTAGATGTGCTCATTATGAGGAGTAATCAGAATCTATTCTAAGTGTTTTTATGCTACAAATTTTGATTTTCTTATAAGAATAGTATAAAAGACATAATCTGCTTTTTCTCAAACACCTATATGTACATTAATTGAGTAGGATGTAGAAAAGATTGCTTTTCCACACATCCATATTTACATGTCAATAAATTTAAAAGTGAGACTAAAGGTGCTAGTTTAAATGGACTCTTAATTCTGCTAACAGTAGTCTCCCTCTAGATTTCCCTTCTTTCTCCTGGTCTTCTCAATTTTTTAAGAAAGAAAACTCAGTATCTCAGATGGAGTCAACTGTCCAGTATAACTGTAGGAGTCCTAGGTCAGGTAGATAAAAAGATTAAATGAAATATTATAAGGGGACCCTGGCTTTGGAACAGACTGTTCAGTGTATGATATGGTCCATAGGCAAGTTAGTTAACTATTAGAAGTGTCAGTGTCCTCGTATGTAAAACAGGATTATATCATCGATCTCACA